CGCCCTTGCGAGGTCCCGCTGCGCGCCGGCTGTGAGCCGGGGGCGTCCGGGCGCAGGGAGGAGCCCAGAGGGCCCCAGAGCCGTGGCCAGCCTGCTCCTCGCAGCCGCGTGACCCGGAGCCCAGCCTGGCCTCTCGAGGCTCAGCCGTGTGCACCGGAGATGGACGCGGGCCCAGGGCGCGTCCTGGCTCAGCTCTCACCGAAGGCCATTCCTAGGCGCGACGCGAGCCCCGGGGCAGGTTCAGCTTGAGGGCACTTGTGCTGTGCAGCTGGCTACACGAGGGAGGGAGCACTTGAAGTGCTGGGGTCGGGAAGGCTTCACAAATGACACATTCCAGCTGGGCTTTGTGGGATGGATAGGAGTTTTCCAATCTAAGGGCAAGGGCAGTCCAGCTGGATGCTTCACACCTGTAACCCAGCACTCTCGGAGGCTGAAACAGGAGGATCAAAAGTCCAGGCCCACGCTGGGCAACTTAGTACTTCAGCAAAACTGTGCTCACAGTAAATGGAAAGAGCCAGGGGTGGGGCTCCGCGGAGTGACCCGAGATGCGCAGCCGGTGGGGGGCCGCACAGGAAGCCGCATGGCGCGGCTGGGAAACGGGGTGGTTTGTGCGGCCACGCCCGGTGGGTGAGGGGCCCGGGAGAGGCTGAGAGTTCTCCAGGCTGCGGCCACACTGCCGAGGGGCTCTGGGGCTTAGGGAAGCTGCCAGGAGCCCCGTGTCCGCAGCCGCACGGCCCGGGCGCCTTGGTCAAGAAGGGAGATCAGCGTACAGTGGGACAGGACCCTGGGCTGAGAGGTCACGCGACTTCCTTGGGGTCACACAGCTCCGTGAGCCGAGGTCCAGCCCACAGCCCAGGCCCCCCACAGTGGACGCGCACAGAGAGCGGCTCGGGACCCACGACTCTACGCTCTTACAGATGTGCGGCCAGATGTGTTTCTCCGACGGCCACGCAGTGGGGTCTGAGGGCCCACTCCCTGCTGCCGCGGTGTCCCCGCCAGAGCCTCGGAAGGGGCTCTGTCTTGCCTGGGAGGTCGCAGGTGCCGTCTGTGGGCGCCCGCGACACTGTGGGCGTCACACAGGTGGAGCCGCGAGGGGCTGAGGGTCTCACACCTCCGCACCCGCACCAGCCGTGGTTCTCAGGGCCCCGAGCCTGGGACGAAGAGGATGGGAGGCTTGGGCCCCAGGTCCAGCCGAGCAGGAGGACGGAAGCACGTGATTCGGTGTCTATGAAAACGGTAAAAATGGTTTGCCTTATCAGTATTAAGCTAAGCATTCGGCAGCGTTCAGCGGATGAGAGACATTTGTGTTGGATTTTGTAGTGCCGTGTTCCCTCGAAAATGAGACCTAACCGGAAAAGAAGCCTGGCCGTTACCATGGTGACAGCCAGCATCCTGCGGCAGAGTCCAGCTCCTGGAGCCTTAACTCAGTGGCTGTTCTGTGGGCAGATAAGGCCAAGTGACAGTTTTGATCTCTAGTTTTCAAAGCTGATTATTTCCCAGGTAGGTCTTTATTTTCAGGGAAACACGGCATTTACTACTTACCTTTTTCCTGTGTTACATATAATATCGCAGGAAAGATCATTCTTCTGTCCTTTGGTTTTCTGTTTTGTGTTTTTGGAGACAGGGTCTCACTGTGTAGCCCAGACTGTCCTTGAACTCACAGTGATCCTCCTGCCTCAGCCTCCCAAAGGCACCATATGACTAGGACGGCAGTTATGTGTACCACAGCAGCCTTGGGCCTGTTTTAAGTAAGGTTGCAGACTTTTTTCTATTTTCTTTCCTTTTTCCCTTTTCTACTTTTTTTTCTTGTCTTTTTGAACCAGAGTCTCACTTTGTAGTTCAGGCTGGCCTTGAGCTCACTTTGTAGCCCAGACTGGTCTTGAACTCATGAGGATCCTCCTGCCTCAGCCTCCTGAGTGCTGGGATTACAGGTGTGCGCCACCACACCTACTTTTCTACTTTTTTAAAGGTAGAAGTGCACGTGGCACTCAGAGCTGCCCAGCTTTTAAAAAGTAAGTAAGAGTCAGTTGTTGGCCAGGAGCAGCCACCGTGCCGGGAAGGACCACGCGCCCCAGCTGGGAGGGAGCACTGGACGCAGTGCACGGGGAGCCACCCGCCTCCCCTGTGGAGGTCCACGCCTCTAAAGCAGCACCAGGGGCTTTTTCCAAGTGACCTTATTTGGGAGAGAGCATTCGCTCCAACGTAGGGTCCCTGCGGGAGCCGGGAGCACCACTGTTCTTTTCCAGTGTTGCTTTAAACAGTCGCCTTGTATCCCAGTCACTGAGACTCCGCTTTTGTGTTGCTGCCCCACTCCCGTCACAGTGCTCAGAGTTGGAGAGGCCGGGATTGACCAGCAGCAGCTCCCACTTCTCCTTAGCTGAGCCACGTGGGGAGGTCCTCAGGACCCAGGGGGCCCGGGAATGAGCATTTTAACAAATCCCGCGGGACCCGCACTTGGAGAAGCACTGCTTGTGCTGCACTTGCTCAGTAGCCCAGGCTGCCTTCAACTCACTGTGTCCCTCAGGCTGGCCCTGAACTCACAGTGACTCTCCTGCTTCAGCCTCCCATGCTGGGATCACAGGTGTGCACTGCCAGGCCCAGGCTACCTGTTGTCTTTCCCTCTGAGATGCAAGGCAGAGGCAGCGGCTTGCTGTCCCAGAACCCTGTCCTTCCCTGGCCACCGCCGTCATACCAAGACTGTCCCTCCCAGGCTGGCCGCCTGCACTGGCCCTCGTGGGGTCGCCCGAGGCTGACGCCCCGGGGCCCTGCGTTCCCTGCACTGAGTGACCGCAGGGGCTGGGAGGCTGGTGCTTGGAGCTTCTTGGTCCTGCTGTGGTTGCCGTGGGTCCGGTCAGACACAGCGGGCCCTCCCCGCTCCCAGCACCTTCACTGCAGGGCTCTGCCATGGAGCTTGCCTTAGAGAAGACGTTCATAGAAATATACCATCTCGAGAAAGGCAGTTTGAGGAAGATTATTTTGAAAACAGATTTTGTGTTGGTGTGGCAAGTTGGCTCATGCCTGTGTTCTTAGCACTCTGGAGGCCGAGGCAGGAGAATCTCAGAGTTCCAAGTCAGCCTGGGCTCCACAGTGAGTTCAAGGCAGCCTGGACTATGTGGTGAGACTCTGTCTCAAAAGACTAAAAGAACTGGGTTTTAGTTCTGTTGGCCAAATTCATTTCCACCCATAAATTGCCGCTTGTCGGCTCACACCCATGTACCAGCCAGAACACAACCCGTGCATTTATGTACACACAAGCAAGGGTGGTGTTTCATGATCTGGACACCAGGTGGCGCCAGTGTCTCATCGTGGGGCCTGCACTGCCGCTCCAGCTCACCATGGCCACTTGAGGTTGATGCCCCGACCTCCCTCCCCAGGGAGCAAATTGCCGGTGGGAAGGCGGTCTCCCTCCCTGTCCCCAGGGCTCTGTGGCTTCTCCTGCCCAGGGCATTGATGGGCCACACCTGGGCAGGGTTGGGGCGCTGGGCATGGGGACCACGGGTGGGCGTGGGCTTGGCCAGGGCTGGACGCGGGCCTGGGCCGCCCCGCAGTGTGCCGGTCTTTCCAGGAGGGCTTCAGGCTGCCAGCTTAGGAAACCAAAGTAACGGCATCACGAGGACAGACGTCCCAGGTATCCCTCCACACACGAGAGTGGCCTGGGGGCCTCGGCCCTGAGAGATCTGTCTCTACCTTGAATTTCTGCCAAGATTCCCACCTGGAGTGCTGGGAGCCAGGGAACAGCCTCTTCCCCGTCAGCTCGCCTGTGACCCTGCCACTCAGGAGGCTGAGGCAGGAGGATCCCAAGTTCGAGCCCAGCCTGGTCAACTTAGTGACTTGTTGAGACCCTGTCTCCAAATAAAAATAAAAAGGGCTGGGGGTGCAGCTCAGGGCGAAGACCTCAGGTTCAATCCCCAGTGCTGGAGAAACAAAACCTAAGACACCCTCTTTTGGTACGATTTAAAGTGACAGGATACTGGCCGGCTCCCAGCGCCGTGCGCTTAGCACACATGTCCCTCGGGAGCCGCGGCAGCGACTGCCTGAATGAAGGACGAGATCACTGGGTGTTGGGGAGCTGAAAGCCTGACCTGCCTCCCATTCTCGAAACCCACCCTCCCCCCTGGCCACACCTCTGAGTCCGAGGGGACAGTGCTGGGGCCAGGTGCTTCCTGTCCAGACCGCTCTTTGTCTTCTCTTATACTTCCCTTGTGGTCTTTTGAGACAGGATCTCATTATATAGTGCAGGCTGGCCCTAAACTCACTATGATCCCAGGCTGGCCTGGAACTCTCGGCAATCCTCCTGCCTCAGCCTCCCAAGTGCTGGGATGACAGGCATGGCCACCATGCCCAGCTAAGCTGATTTTTTATATCATCGCTGATGGCGATGAAAGTCCTTCGGTGGTGACTGACCGAAGCAGAAAGGTGCCTGCCTGTGACCAGCCAGCCTGGGGGAGGCGCCATCCCATAGTCAGTCCGCCTGGCAAGGAGCCCAGGATGAGTCCTCCTGGGCAGACAGAGCACGCGGCTTCCTCCAGACACCGGTGCCAGAATCCGAGCCTCATTCCAGGCATCTGGCTGAGGCTGTGACTCGGCAGGGACGGGGTGGCCGGGCCTGGCTCGCCCACTGCCTGTGACTTCGCTGTGCTTCCTTGGGGCCCGAGCCGGCGGCCGTCCACGCCAAGCGCTGCGGCTTCACGGCACTGGCTGGTGACAGCCTCTTGTCTTCCTCCCTCTCCTCTCCCTCCCCAGGCTTATGGGGCAGGGAGGTCACCAAGCTCCCCTGCCGCCGCCCTGGCGGCCTTGCTGCTTAGTGGCTGCCCCATTTCTGTCCCCCGGGCAGGGGCTTCTTACCACGTTGCCAGAGCTTTGTCTTCTCCCTGTGACAGCATCATCACCATCATTTAATCTCTTTATTGGCTTTTGAGACAGGGTCTCACTGAGTTTGTACCAGGAAAGCCAGCGTGACAGGCTTCTCCAGGAGAACCAGCAGCACCGTCTTCCCTGCTGGGCCAGGCAGCCGTGTACCCTGGGGACCCGACCTGGGGGCCCTGTGGACAGAGCCCTTCTACCGTGCTGTGGAGCTGAGACCCGGACTCGGACGTGCACCTGAGCAACCTGCCAGGAGTGCAGGGTGGAAATGACTGAACTGAGACAGGACACAAGCCAGTGCTGGGTAGTCTCGAGCAGGAAAGGGTGGCCCCCTCCCGCTCTAGCCCACAACAGGGTTCCATGACCATTTAAACTTCCTAGGCCTGGGGAAGATAGGTGTTATTATTTGTACTATTATTTTGGGGTTTTTTTGAGACAGGGTCTCATTATGTAGTCCAGGCCGGGTTTGTACTCACATCAATACTCCTGCCTCAGCCTCCTGAGTGCTGGGATGACAGGCGTGTGCCCTCCACACCCAGCTCCGAAGGCTGGAATTCTGGAAGCCCGGGTACCACATCCCGCCTCGCCCAGGCCTGCTTTGTCTGGCAGCCTGTGCATGGTGACCCTGTGTGTGACAGCGAGGAGGCAGGAATGTCTCAGGAAAGGAGCCTGGGGGTGCTGGCATCCCCGCCATGCAGTGCCAGGTGGGCAGCATCACAGTGCCACTGTGGGGTGAGGGCGAACCCCGTGGGTCCGGCAGGAGCGGGGCTGTGTGGCTGGCTGGCCCTTGCTATGTCACTGTCACTGGGGAGCCCTGGGATGCCCTCCCCAGAGCGACTCCTGGGTGACACGGCTTTCCGGGCCTGGCCTAGCCACGCGCCTGGCCTCCTTGCAGCCACCACGGCAGCCCCAGTCCCAGCCCTGCCCTGGCCCCAGCTCCTGCGCGTGTGCGCGGGCTTCCTGTGCTTCCCCGCATGTGCCTGTGCCAAGCAGCCAGCAGCGGTCGCCAGCCCGGGGGGGCCCTGCACGGCGGCTTGCTCTTTCTGCAGCCGCTCTGGAGTCCTCTTGCCTGAGGGTCTTTAGCTGCGCTGTCCTGGCTGCCTTGATGTCCTGAAAGGATTCAAAACGTCTCCCTTTCATGGTCACTGTGACTTTGGGGAGCAGCCCGGAATGACACAGTGCCAGGCCCAGTGGCTGAAGTGGATGAGGACACAGTGTCACATTTTCCTGAGCTGCTTTTCTGTGGTGAGGCATGTGGTGGCAGTAGTCACCATATTTTTGATCACAGCTGAAAAAGGAAAGAGGACTCCAGAGCTGCTGCAGACAGCTGCCAGGACCATGGGAAGAGTTGCTGAAAGCAGAGGAGACATTTGGGGACTCATGGCTGTGTCTTGCGCTGTAATTATTTTTGAAATGTAAGCGTTCTTCACGATGCTGGTTTCCTTTACTTCCCTTGCCGTGTCCTGCAGGGAGGGTCTGCACCCAGCGCTCAGTCCCCCTTTGCCAGTCTCCAGGCCTGGGTCGCTCTGGCGCAGGCAGTGGACGTGGCGTGTGCTGGGAGGCTCCTGGGGCTGCTTCACTGTCCGCTGTCTGCCTGGGCTGGAGGTGGCTGAGGAGCAGCACAGGGTGCAGCAGAGCTGGGGGGCGGCCGGGCCAGGGCAGCACCTGCTTCTCAGCAGGTGCAAGGTGCAGGGTGTTCTATGTTTATTTTTGGCACTGGAGCTTGAACCCAGGGCCTTTGCATGGTGCTGCACCCCCTGGCCCTTTTTATTTTTAATTTTGAGCCAGGGTCTCTCTGTGTCACTAAATCGCCCAGGCTGGGCTGGAGCTTGTGACCCTCCTGCCTCAGTCTCCCAGGATGCTAGGACGGCAGTGCGCACCACCATACCCAGCTTGCAGAGTGGTTTTAAACAGGAATGAAACCCTTCTGCTTCTGGATTTAGAAAGTCAGGCTGGCAGCTCCACAGAGAACGGACTGGCAGAGGTATGCAGGAGACCAGAGAGGGAGGCGAGAAAGTTGCAGTCATTGGTCTAGGGTGGAGGTTTGAGGGCAGCCCCCCTGAGGGCAGAAATCACCTGGGCCTACACTGGGAGAAGGATGGGCTACAGCGGGAGGAGGAGCCCTGGGTGGGGAGGGGATGCGTTTGCCTTTAAATCAAGATCTCCTCAAAGCACTGGATAAAAACTTGGAGTCTATAATTCCAGCACTCTGGGAGGCTGAGGCAGGAAGATCACAAGCTGCAGCCCAGCCTGGGCAACTTGGTGGCTTGGTGAGACCCTGCCTCTGAAAATGAAAAAGGCTGGGGACGCAGCTCAGTATGAACGCCAGGCGCAGTGCCTAGACTGCCTGCGCACGCAGAGCCTTCTGAAGTGCCTAGACCGCTCGCGCCCTCAGAGCATGTGGGGGCAGCCTGGAACCTACTTTTCCCGGGGCATGGCACAGAAGGTCCCACTTTCTGCCGGTGCTGTGAGCCCAGGCCAGTAGCTGTCTCGCCACCTTTGTGTCCCTGGAGCCCAGCTCAAACCCAGGCTGATGTTTGTTGAGTGCAGGAGCGATCTCCAAACCAAGACTGGCTCCTTCCTCCCGCGCACTGAAATGGTCTCTGCTCAGCCGCTGCAGGCTGGGCTTGGCTGTCTGCTTCCCTTGCACCATTCTGCCCACATCTCACTCCAGCCTGTGCTCCCAACGCCTTCCTCGGGTCTGAGATTTTCACACACTCCCCTGAGCTCCCTGTTTTCCGGTGTGAACCGCAGGGGCACCCACCTGTCAGCCTTGGAATTGAACAACAGTGTAAAATCGTCACCTGTCTCTTTTTCTTAATCAGAGAGGAAATGTTAGTAACAGCAAGGTCTCCCAAAGGCCGCCGTGCACACCCTGTCTTCGGCTGAAAGCCACACTCTTGCTAGAAGCAGGGCTGGGTATGTTTCTGATTACATGGGTGACCCGCAGCCTGGAAACCCTTTGTAGATGCCCTTTATTCTTACACAACCTACTGATGAGCACATGATCTAACAGATTTCACACCACATAAACTTAAGCCTAATAAATGGCTTCGAATTCAGAGCCCCTAATTCTGGTTCAGGGATGTAGACCCCTTACAAAAGCAATTGTGTAGACAATTAATAAACCCACCCACTGCCCTGCGGAAGGACCGGTTCCAGCCCCCATCGCCTGCCCTAGACCAAACTCCAGATAAGTAGGTTTAGAAAATATAGATTTCCTGTGGGCTTCTGTTAGGGGAGAAGACGTAGCCACAGTAAGAGGTCACATGGCCATAATCACCTTCTGCCGTGTCCAGTACAATCGCAACAGCTATTGCTGCTGAAGTATGTGGCTGCTTAAATCCATATTAACCATATTTGAACATAATCCTGGCACATCCACGGGTTTAACACCCACATGGTGCCAGAGCTCCTAACTTCCAACAGACGACAGAACACTGTCATCGCGGAATGTTCCAGCTTGCTGCTGTTTTGTCTGTTATCAGTCACTGTGCCTCTCCTGGGGCTGTTTGATTGCATTCATCTAGATAAGCAAAATAAGGTTCATATTGAAAAATACAGATTAAAAAAGAAATCCTATTGTTAATGGGAAGAAGGGAAACTTTGTTTAAATCTGCTGCTGAGCTGTTTTCGTCAAGCCCTTTGCTGTTTCGAGGGATGTACTTACAGCTTCGAGCAGTGAACAGTCTTGATTAGGACCAGCAAAGAAAACCTGCTTTCTCAGCCTTGTTAGACAAATCCTGCCTGACTTTACCAAGGGGAAGCGTGCGTGAGAGGCTGCTGGGCCAGCAAGGTTCAGGACCTTGCGATGTGGGGATCCGTGCTGGGTAGCGAGGCAGGAATGAGTGCTGAGCCGAGCTGCAGGGCTGCCGGAGGAGAGCTGCTTGCTTTCCTCAGCAAACAGTGCGCAGCCTCCTTTCTGGTCCTCCAGCCTTGGTTTACTTAGCTACAAGGCCGAGAGGAAGGCAGGCTTCCCACTGCATGGCAGAAGAGAGCTAAGGCAGTGTGGAGCCAAAACAGAACCTTGCGGGACCTCAGAGGTCCTGTGAGCTGTGGGCCCAGATCCAAATTGTTGCGAGTCACCTCCAGAGATGGGCTTTCGGCTCGTACAGCAGAGGTGGGCTTCGCTCCATAACGCAGGTGTCTCAGCACAGCAGGCAGCGCTCAGGCGAGACAGCCCCGAAGAAGAGCAAATGTTAGCAAACTTCCACGCACTCACTGTGGAAACTTCACAGCCATTCAGTCCGGACATTGCCTGTGAACCCTGGGCCTCTATAGCTTGCTACTTGTTAATGGAGGGCATTTAAAGGCCTCTCAGATTTTCAGTCTGCAGTGTCTTTCCTGGTAAGGTGAGTTTCTTGCAGGAAGCATGTAGCTGGGTCTGGTCTCCTTATCCAGTCAGGGTGATCTGTCTCCTTCCACTGGGGAATATAGTCTTTTTAGATTCAAGGTCATTATTGATATGGAAGTACTGACTCTTGTCATTTCATTAATTCACTTCAGTTTGTTCTGGATATATTTTGTTCATTTTTGTGGTTTGATAGTTTACTGTATTGCTAAGATTTAATTTTTCTATTTCTCTTTTGTGCATCTGCTGATTATTGGTCTTTATACTTTATTGTGTTTTCATGATGGTAGTACTCTTTTTCACTTCTGAATGTAGGATTCCCTTAAGCACCTTTTGGCTAGGCACACACCTGTAATCTCAGCCATCTGGGAAGCTGGGGCAGGAGAGTCTCAAGTTTGAGCCTACCCTGGGCAACTTAGTGAGACCCTGTTGTGCAATAATGAATCTTTTTTCAGTGGTACAGTGGTGATGAATTCTCTTAGTTTTTGCTTGTCTTGGATGGTCTTTATCTCTGAAGGATAGCTTTGCTGCTTATAGTACCTTTGCTCAGAAATTAGGTTCTTTCAGTACTTGAGCTACAATGTTTCTCTGAAAATAAGACTTAGCTACAGAGCCATTGAGCAAGAGAATAGTTTTTTTTGTTGTTGCTGTTTTTTGTTTGTTTGTTTGTTTTTGATACTGGAAATTGAACTTAGGACCTTGCACTTGCCAGGCAGGTGCTTATGCCACTGAACTAAATCCCTGGCAAGCAAGAAAACAGTGATAGCAGATGAGATTAAGATAGGTTGATGGGGGCTGGCACTTTTGATCTCTAGTTTTCAATACTGATTATTTTCCAGCTAGGTCTTATTTTCAGGGAAAAAGGGTGTATCATTCCTTTTCCTCCTGGCACATAGGTTTCAGATGAGAAATCTACTGTTAGTCTGAAGAATGTAGCCTTAATGTGACTTGGCACGTTTTCTTACAAGTTTTAGAATTCTCTCCTTGCCTAGTTATTTGGCCAATGTGACTACACAGTGCCATGGTGAGGGTCTTTGATG